ATTGCTTATTTTGGAAAGATCATCAAAATTTTAAAATTGAAACAATTGGATGTGTACTTGTGACCGGCACTGTACGAACGTACGATAATTTTCTATGGTGATAAAATATAATATTATGCTGTCTGCCCTATTACTATTACGATTACTATAATTAAAGGTCGTAACAGATTGTAATACTACTTTGTTATCAGAAAAACCCTGATTATCATATTATACTTACATTATCCTGGGTGCATTATTGTTAGTAGTATTAGTAATATTATTATTACCGTGATTCTAAATTTTTTTTTCTATTTATAATGAAATAAAAAAATTATCTTTACATTCATGTTAATTATATTATCAATTCAAAATAATTAATAGTAATATTAAATATCTTCAATCATATATAGTATGTAGTCAATATAGTAAAACCTTGCCACAGTGGATGAACGGTACACATAAACAAATTTTATTTAAAATCTGTTGTGGCAAGATTACTAAATACTGATACCAATATTGCCACAACGGATTTTTATATATTTTTACATGTGATATGCGAAGCAAAAATTTTTAAAAATCAGTTATGACAAGAGTTTGATTATTATTATAGTTCGCTGTGACAAAAGTTGACGAATTTAATATATATATATATTACATTTGATCAACCAATAAAAATTCATAAATCACATGATATGTTCGTACAACGTATTAAAAAATTTAAGCTCATACGTACGTGTACGATACGTGCATGTGTACATGTACGATTCCCAACCCTGATTACTAGTAATGTGACTGACACTGAAACACAAGAAACAGAAAATTTAGCCAAACAAGAGCAATTTATTTCTTTGTTAGAAAAAGGAATTCAATTAGAGAATAAATTGTGTGGTGTAATTCTTAAAAGAAAACAAATTGAAAAAAAAAGATTAAAATCATTTTTAATTTCTTTAAATCTTTAAATAAAAAATTACTTTAGTGTGTAATTATTGCTTATTGAAGTTATATGTTATTAATTATAATATACAATGAGTGTGGTATGGTATGGGATAAAAAAATTTTTTTGACCATTCATACTTTACTTACAGTGGTATTCATAAAGTTCGCAAATCATAACATACCATCTGCGCGAACCATACCATACTTAATGTCACCATACCACATTTTAACAAACATTTAAAAATTTTTTTTGCCAGTGATAGAAGTTCAGCATCAAAATATTCTAGTTGATATTACTGTTTATTAATAATAAATTATTAAAGAGTATGTATATACAATACAACATTGCATTAATTAAAAAAAAATTTTTACAAAAAAAAAGGTTCTGTCTATATATAGGATTGTTACGCGACTATTATTATTATTTGTTATTAATAAAACACATAATAAACAAAGATAATAAATAAATAGCTTTTATTGCTTTCCCTAAGTGAAATAATTAATTTTATTACAAATATTGTGTTTTTCTACCCATAATCCCAAGCTGGCTTTAAAGTTTATGTTTGACTATCAAAAGTCAAAATTTTTTAATGGCCGTGATTTTTATTTTATAATCGTTTGTGATAATTTGAAATAAGATCGATAAAAATTTGGCCAATGAAATAGTTTGTTTTTGTGATCTGCAATAGTGTCCATTATGCTGAGTTGTTTCAGTAGTACAAAATGTCATTATTATTCTATATATATATAATTTAATGATCGACGTTAAGCCAAATTTGTTACGTAAATAAGGTATATAAAGGTGGCAAACACCAAATTCGGGTCATGTATTTCTCGATCCTCCCGTAAAGTAATACTCTTATAACATTATAAATAAATTTTCAGACCGCTTATTGAGGCCTTTTTAAGCAATATTCAAAAAAGAATGTAAATTTGAATAAGCATTACAACTATGTAGAGAGTTGCTCTAAACACTAAAAATATCTGCTGAAAAGCTTTAATGGAGTAGTTTCACTTTACTTTAATAATAATGAACCCATTTTAAAAAATATGTTTGGTTACACATGAAAATTAAATTGATCCGACATTTCCGAAATGAAGTAATGATCTGATTTTACTTTATTACTGTATTTAAATCCAATTTCGGCTCCCCGTCCATTTAAATATTTGTTTATTAATATTCGTAAATAAATAAGATATCATGAACACGTACCCTTTATTTAGAAATACATAAAAGAAAATTTTTTTCGATTAAATTGTGCCACTTAGTACAACAAAACAATGAGCCAAATAAAAAACTCATTTTCGTTTTTTTTCTATATATAAAATAAAGAATTACGAAAAGTTGAAAGAGCATTAAATGTTAAACCGATATCTTTTCTTGTTGCTATTTTTTTTCTTTTTTAAAAAAAATTTGCCAAATCTTTTTTAAAAAAACCCACAATCCTTTTCTTTCTCCCCTCAAATTATGACTTTCATTAATAGAATATCTTATGAAAATCAATTTTCATTAGAATATCTCAATAACAATGAAGTTTCAACTGATTTGATGAAACTTCTAAAAGCCCCAAAATTTTATGATATTGAAATTACGGTTGGGATGGATGACGATTGTAAAGTTTTCAAGGCTCATTCTACGATTTTAAGAGCCAGATCGTCTTATTTCGACACTGCTTTATCAGAAAATTGGGTTAAATATGTTAACAATATAATGATTTATAAGAAAAAAAATATTTCTCCAAAATTGTTTACGATTATTCTAGAGTAAACTTCATTGTTATTTTTTTATTACTGTCAATTAATTTATATTAATTTATTATATTAATGTGTGATTTTTTTATTATAAAAGATACATTTATGGCGGAAATATCGAGAAAGTGAATCTGTATCCAAAAGAAATTTTTGACCTTATTCTGGCCTTTGATGAACTATGTTTTAAAACAATGTCTAAAATTTTACAAGAATTTCTAATCAAAAATGCAGAGGAATGGATTCAACAAAATATTGTCGAAGTTCATTATATCTCGTTAGAAAACACTTCATTTGTCGGATTTCATGATTATTGCGCAGAAGGTAAATTACTTACTAATATTATTTAAATAATTATTGTTATAATTTCTAATTCTCTCCTTTTTTTCCCTTTCTTTCACTATTTTTTTTTTGTCATTATTTTTTTTTAAAGTAATTTCATGTTGTCCAGAATTATTTTTTCAAGCAAATGATTTTAAAAAAATCAAAAATTCCACACTTGTATCTATCCTGCAACAAGACAATTTATCGATAGAAGAGATAGAAATTTGGAAATTCATTCTTCGATGGGGGATCGCTCAAGATGATGGATTGAGTAAAGATGTTATCAAATGGAATGATGATGATTTTACAAAGTTACAAAGACAGCTAGGTGATCTAATTCCATTGATAAGATTCGATCAAATCTCTGCCGATGATTTCCATGACAAAATCAAACCTTATGAAAGGATCTTTGATCAAGATATACGCAATTTTCGAACAAATCCAAGATTAATTACATACCAAACAAGACCTTTGAAAATTAAGTTACTAAATCTACAATCTCAATCTCGCATCGTCAATTGGATCAAGGGAAAAAATTGCGTCTATGATTATAAAACCGTACCATACGAATTTAAGCTAATTCTTCGTGGCTCCGTAGACGGATTTACTAAATGTGTTTTTAATGAAAAATGTTATGGAATTAAACGAACTGTGGTTATTATGAAAATCAAAGATACAGGAGAAATTATTGGAGGCTACAATCCAGTTTGTTGGAATAAAACAAAATATTCAGATAACGAAAGTTACTGGATCAAAACATCTAAAAGCTTTATTTTTAAAATTGATAAATATCATTTGGAGAATTCACTAATATGTAGAGTTAAAAGTTCTAGAACAGCAATATTTAATCTAAGCCCAGGAATTGTAAATTCTGGAGTTCATGCAAGAATATCTAATGAAAAAAAGAAGACTAAAGCGCCAATATTTGCTAGATCATTTGCAAACTTCAATGACTTATGTATAGCAAATAATGGTGATAATAAGGCATCTTGTTATTATAATAATAATAATAATAATAATAATAATTCATATTCTGGAAATTTGAATCTCAAGACAAATGACGATAAATTTCAAGAATTAGAAGAGTATGAAGTATATCAGTTAGTAAAGAGAAATCAATAATGTATATTATTTTTTTTAACATTTCATTTACAAATATAAAGATATTTTATACATAAATTTTTTTCTTATGATGAAAAAAATTATTATAATAATAATTTATTCGCAACTAAATAATCAATCTTTAATTTTTTTCTTTAATAATTTGTACACTTCAAATTCCTCTAATAAATGAAGTGAATTTGTCAGTATTGTTAGCTTCAAATCATTTTTATAAGAGTGCCAATTATCATAATAACAATAAGGTTCTTAATTGATACTGTTAAGAAGTTGCAAATCAGAAAATTTTATGTATTTTTCACGAAATCTTATGTTATCTATAGTTTGATTGATTTTTTGACCATCATGATATATTGCATATTTAGAATATTCGACTCTACTTAATATAGAATTATTTATTTGATTCTGATCTATCTTAAAAATAAAACCTTCTTCTGCTTCGATCTAATAATCATCATGTGTATGCATTTCTTTTACATTCCAACTAACTGGATTATAACCACCTGTTTTTTTAATTTTCTTGATAAACACAGTTTGTTCAATATTGTAGCATTTGTCCTCGAAGGCTGTCTTAGAAAATCCAGCATAAGTTCCAGAAAAAATTAATTCGAATTTATAAGGTAAATTATTTTTATCCCTTCAACGAATCTCTATTCAACCAAAGCATATTCATTGTCGACGAAAATCATAACTCTAAAGCTAGACATCAAATATTTCATTTTTAATTTTAATAACTTTCCTTTTCTTTGTTCTTGAATTTTTTTGAGGTAACAATAATCTTGGTTGCTATCTATTAGTAACATAGTATTGTAGAAATTCTTCATATACTTCTTTATCAAAGACTTTTTTCATAAGGTTTGATTTTATTGTAAAAATCTTCATATTTGATTTGATAAAATCTTATGAATAACATCACCTAATATATTTTTCAAATCAATAATATCGTCATTGTTCCAATTTTCAACATCTTCAATATCTTCTTCTTCAATTTGTCCTATTCCCCATTTTATAACATAGTCTCAATTACAATTTCATCTAATTCTAAATCTTCTTTTTCTAATATTGATATAAGTAAGGATTTTCAATTGCTGCAATATTATCATCATCAGCTTTTAAAATTATTTCTTTTGGATTTGCATCAATGAATTCATCACAGTAATCTTGAATTAAATTTAATGTTTGATGCTTAGATGAAATTTTATAAATGCAAATTATATTCTGTTGAATCCATTCTCTCCCTTTCATAATTAAAAATTTTTGTAAATCATCATTAAAACATAACTCATCACATGTTTTAAGCAGTTCAAAAGTTTCATCCAGATCCAGATTGTTTATAATTAACAATTCCATTGTAAATGCATTTTTGAAAATAAATATAATTTATGTTTTTTTAAATAGCAATATATTAAAAAATCAAATTGTATAGAATTAATCTTACATTAAAATAACTTCAAACACTTTTGGGGAAATATTTTCTTTTTCAAATAAAATGATATCATTTTTAGTTTTTTTAGTCCAGTTACTGGACAAAGCTGCTTTAAAATAAGAAAACCTTGCCTTTAAAATGGCGGAATGAGCTTTAAAAGTTTTAGCATCATGATTTGATCCAATTCTAATTTCTACATCATAACAGTCAGATTCATTTAATAATTCTGTTAAATCATTTACAAGTTTACGAATATGTTTTAATGGATTTCATACACTTTCCAAGGACGAAATACTAGTAGGAATTTTGAAAAAAAAAATTTAATTTTTAAAAAAGCACAAGATTTCGCGTTACATAATTCTGTGGTAATTTCAGTTTTATCAATTACAATGGTAAACCCTTAACGTTCTTATTCACGATTTAGTGAATCCGTGCTTTTTTTGATGATGGCGTTGTCCTTTAATAATTAGTTACAATAGTTTTTGGATGTTTCTATTAACGACACATATAGATAATTATATGGTTTTGTTGAAGTCAACCTGGAAGCCAATTCCCCAACAATTTAAAAAACAAATTTTGAATCAACAAGTGCGTTTTATCCAATTGAACATTACATCTTTAAAAAAAATTTTATTGTCTACAACCATTATGCTCGAAAGAAATGTGTCCGTAAAGTCTCTGTCCAATAAACCACGCGTCACTTTATTTAACTCATCAAATGATTTCATTGCCCTTTTATCGTTATACTTTACCAAATGTTTTTTCGTATAGAGCTACAAACTTTTATCAAACTTGATCATTTCATCCATATGTTGTCGATTTCATAAAAATATCGCTTATTTTTTATTTTTTTCTATTGATAACGTAACGGAGGATTTGTAATGAATTATGATCAAGAAAGATTTCGATGAAATTAGTTTCAATTAACTATTCTTCGTTAAAAGTTGCTATCTTCTGATGATTTCAATAAAATTAATATTTAATTTCCTCTTATAGTAATGCTGCTGGCTAATAAAAAACTATTTCTTATGATTTCTTCAAATTATGATATCTTATTTCATTTATTTACGTCAAGTAAAAATGTTATCAGTATGGGAAAAAATCGGTTCACAAGAGTAAATCTTCTTTAATAATCACATAACGTTATTTGCTCTATTTTGTAAACCTTGGTTTCCCTCTCTCAAGCATCTAGAATGGGATCTTGTGCAAGTGTGAGCCCATGGAATATATAGTAGAATAAAAAAAAAAAATGGTACCATTCGGTATCCTAATAGGCTGATTTAAAATCATAATATAATTTTTTTTTTTTGCTAGTAAAAATATTGTAAAATAAGTTGGTGCTATACAAGACATGATTGTTATATATAATAAAATAACAGGTAATAATAACAGGTATTAAAAATTATAAAATTTTTTTTCTTTAAATTTAAATGTGCTATATAGCTAAGCCTTTATTTCATGGCTTAGCAGATCATAGATCATCTTTGAAATATTCCTATTTCTATAAAATTTGTATATTTGTCTCCAAATTCAGAAAAAAATTTATATAAACGCGCGAATATAATAAAATAATGCGTGTGATTGAATTTATTTTAATTTCAAAATTAAAAAAAAATGTGAAAATTCGTTTTAATTTCTTTCTCTCTCAGTTAGATTTTTTCGTTGAAATATGTTGCTAATATATTTTTTTTCATGTTATCTATATGCACTCATTTAGGTCAGTATTCGAACAAACAGAAATTGTTGAACTTTATGATCCATATCCGCTTAAAAAACCTATTAAAGCGGCACATTTAGAACAAATTGGTTTACAATCAAGAGAAGGAAAAAACAATTATCTACAAGATAAAATAGATAGCATAAAAGATGGAATAGAAAAAACTATAGAAGACATGGCAAAGAAAGAAAAAATATTAGAGGAAGGACAATCATGTACAATATTGATTTTTTTTTTTGATTTTTTTTTTTTTTTTTGAGAAAACTGTTTTTTAATTTTAATTTTTTATTTTAGTGATTTTTAATGAATCAATTAAAAGTCAATCAAAAAAGGTAAAGAATCAATTGTGGTGGAAGAATACAAAGATGATAATTATCTTGACAACTGTAGGAATCTTGATTTTAACAGCCATAATTGGTAAATTCAATATTTTCTTAAATTTCTTAATTGAAAAAATAAAAATAATTTATTAAAAATAAAATTTTTTTTCCAAATGTGTTAATGTAAATAATAGTTCCAATTGTTCTTAAAGCTCAAAATAAAATTTAATTTTCATTGGTTGACACCAAAATTCATCAAACTGTATAATAATAATAACAATAACATCTGTACATACATCATTTCACACTATAAATTTCCACCTCTTCTCAAAAGACCTTCTCATTATAATAGAAAATATATTATTTGGTAATAATGGTGGTAAAAAGTAGGGTAGGGTAGAGTAGTTTTGTATATAATTTATTTTTTAATACTAGTAATTATGTAATATTATAATTTATATCTAATTATTTTTAATATATTAATAAAATTAATTATTTTAATATCAATAAAATAATTATTTAATCTATTCGTTCCAATAATATTAATTATCACTCCTATTCTTAGCCCTACTCTTAGCCCTAGTATTAGTCTTGGTGGTAGTGTTAGTGTCATTCTTAGGCTTATTCCTATCCTTATTATATCTTTCTTGTCGTCTCAATAATTTCTTTTCTTCTTTGATTTCTTTATCTAATTCTTTTCCACTTTTAATTATTAATTCATCATCATCTTCCAATCCAATAATTGATGTTTCTCCTTCTTCCCCTCCTACATCACCATCTCCTACTAATTGTTTTCTTTTTTCATCGTCAAATTGTTTGTTTGTGAAAAATGATAATGGCGATGATAACGATGAAAATATATTCTTATCCTTCTTATTATTATTATTATACTTGCTAATCTTATTGTCATTGATTTTATATCTCTTATAATCATTATTGTTATTATTTTCATGTGCAACGATATTTTCTAGTGATATTTTTCTTGGATTTTTTATATCCAAATATTCTCGTTCTTTTATTCTCGCCTCAACTATTCGTTTAACTTCTTCCGGTGTTTTCAACTCTCGATAATTTTCAGATTTTACTTTCTCATTATTGATATACCACAAATAATCCTTTTCTTCGTGCGAGTATTTTTTTATAATGAACTTATTGGCCTTCATACCATTCAAAATACCTTTTTTCAAAAAACTAACAGATCTAAGTTTTTCTGTATAGTTAGGTATTTCTTCCGATAATTGTCTTGTATTTCTTGGTCCTTTTGTTGATAATAAATGAAGTACTATTCTTGTTATACTTGGCGTATAATTCATTTTTGATTTTTATATTGTTTTATTTTTGTTTTATTTTGTTTATTATGTTTTATTAAGATTATCATGAAAAATTTTATTTGTGAATTTATGTATAACATCTATTTGTGCAACAAATTTTTTCTTTTTTTATTTAAAAGAAAAAATGAGAAAAAAAACAGAAATATGAAGAAAGAATGAATAATAAATAAATTACAACTAAACTCTAATCATCATCAATATAATCAAATCGTTCATTCAATTGATCATTCATTCATTCATTCATTCGTTAACACGTTCATAGAATAATAGATAAGCACCACTCGAAAGCGCTTCTTCAACTGTAGCACTTCTCACTGAACTATCACTACAATAAATCCATTGTCGGTGTCCATCGCCAGTTTTAACTGCTTGTTTATGTATCTCATTAACTGTACGCCGATCATCATACGATAGATTCGGTAAGCCAGTTTGCTCTCCCTCGCCAACAATATTCCTAGATAGCACAAATGCTATATAATGTCCATTAAATAAACTTCCTAAATGCACAACAACTCCATACAATCTATATTTAGTAGATTGTGATGGCTGCTCTATTAATTTATTTTGTTGCTGTTGTTTTTTAAGATCTTTTGCATCATCATCCTCCACCTGATCATCATTCGAAATTTCGTCTGCCTTATATCTTTTATAATTATTATTACTATCATCATCAGCATCCGTACCATCTGATTCTTCCTCTTCGTCTTCCTCGATTTCTGGTGGTACGACAAACTCGCCAACATCTATTTCCTCTTCAAACGAAACAAAATCATCTATTTTTTTCATGTGCATCGACCATCTACTACCAACTTGTTGAAATCTTTTCAGATGAAATACTAACACTGGTGGTAATGAAGCGAATAAATACCGTTTATAGGCTTTTTGCAATTTAAACTTTTCTCGTTTTGGCGGTGATTTTGATCTTGATTTTTCTCTTGCCGTTGTTCTTTCTCTTTCTCTTTCTCTCTCTTTTTCCATCAATGATGACGATGATGATTCTGTGGATATGATCATTTCATTATGATTTGAAGTGTCTGACGATGGATGTGGTAAAGGAGTATTATATGTACTAGATGAATTATTATTGTTATTACTACTAGCACCAAACATACTACAGTCGTTGACACTATAATCATCATTACTGTTATTGTCACCACTATCACTATGATCATTGTTATTATTACTATTACTATTAAACGTGCTATAAACATTATTATTATCGGCACTTCTACTATTAACTACATTACAACTATTATTATTAGAATCATTATCATCATGATTTAATGGATTCTCAACATCAATAGATGCCGTTTGACTAATAATCATTTTATCATCTGACCCTTCAACTTCTTCTTCACCATTAACAGTCCCATCACCATTATAATCATTATTGCCGCCACGATTCAGTGAATCCTCAGCATCATTTGGTTCATGTTTGTTATGATCAGGTGTTGTTCGAATAATAATCATATCGTCTGTTTCTTCAACTTTATTATAATTGTTATCATTATTATCGTTAACAACAACAACATCATCATTATTAAAATCATCATTTTTATCATCATCATCATCATTATTACTATTTTTATTAGCTTGCTCTTCAATCATTTCTCTATGTTCTTCCCCATTATCTATTACATCAGCATCTTCAACTTTCCGAATAATTTCCTGTTGTTGTTTTTGCTGCTCTTGCAATTTTTGTTGTTTTAATTTTTTCTCTCTTTTTTCTTTTATTTGCCAACAATTTCCACAAGCAAAAGCATTATCACCTTCTAAAGTTTCTACTCTCATAAAACTATTAAGACAATCAATCAACGATATATCATTTTCTTTAATAGAAGAAGAAGAAAAGTAATTATTATAACTGTAACTACCATAACTAAAACTGTTACCATTATTATTATCGCTATATATGTTTTTATTATTGTTATTATTATTAGAATGACTCTCTCGTAATAATAATTTATTTCTTTTTTTACGCTTTATTGATTTGGCTGAAGGTTTTGTCTCGTTATCAAATTTTTTTTGTTGTCCGTCATTATCATCTGACTCCACTATTGCATCACCATCATCGCCAATATCAGCGTCACCACCACTACTATGTGGCGATGAATTATCATCTCGCGAGCCATATCTACTGTCATATGTGCTATAATAAGTGGTACTCTCATTCGTATATTTCTTAAAATAATAATTATTATGATGATGATGATGATGATAAGTAGTAAAAAATAATGTTTGCGCGTTAATATTTTATACAAAACAAACCAATTAAAAAAAATCAGTAATATAAGTTAAAATTAATATTAACTTGAGATTCTGTCTGATTTGGTGATTTTATTGGTAATGAGACATCCAAAAATTCTTCATATGAATAAGAACACTATTAAATAAATAATAATAAAAATTGCGTAAATGTACCTGTAAATTTGTAGTTAAATAATTACACTAATTATTAAGCAAAATACTTACGTTATCACAAGTATCGCAAACGATAACACTAACTAATTTTCCACCGAAACATGCATCAATAAAAGATTCGTATTTTTGAACTGATGATTTATCCTTTTCTTTTTGATTTATAGAACCTTGAGATGATATTTCATCGACTATCAATTATTAACAGTTTTTATACTTTAATTATGCCCAAGAAGAAAATATTAAATTACATAGACATTTGAATATATTTATTTACCCTCAACGTCATCATCGTCATCACCATTATCATCATCGTCATCATCATCATTGTCATCATTATCTTCTTCCCCTACCTCTCCATCCTCCATTACTATATCATCTTTTTTATGAGCTAATAATTTTTTTATTAACTAAAGTACAAATAATAAATAATTAATAAATTAATAAATTACTAACTATTATCAAACAATAATAATAATCACCAATGGTCCAATTTGTTTATTTACCTCGAATTCTTCACTTTTTATGCCATCAAATAAATATCGCATTACTTCTTGGCTGTCTTGTTGTCTCCATCCTCTAAATTGCTGCCATTTTCTTGAAATTTCTTGGAACAAATTTTTTGGATTTACAGTTCCATCATGTTGTTTCCACATCATATCTAGAAATGATTTGAAATTATCTGTTAACGGACCAACATCCTCACTTGTAGCAGCAGGGCATTTTTTATATGATACTAGTGGAGGATTATAATAAGGATTTGATGGGTCAAGAATATCATGAAGGACTGATGTTGCTGCGACAACCTAGTAAATAATTTTTTTAAAAAAAAGGAAATTTATAAATGTGGCTTTTTGGAGGAAAAGATAAATAAAATATATTTAATGCACAACTAACCTGCATTAAAGAATTAAAGAAGCAAGTGTTACCAAGATTTTGTAATCCTGGTGCTGTGATTCGGTATTTATTTTTAATTGATTTTTTTATTAGTTCATTCGGTGTTTCTAGTAGTATACATAAAAATAAAAAAGGCAGTGTAAGCGTATATTTTATATTTATTTATTTAGAATAGTGATGTCCGTTCAAAAATATAATAATTATAATACCTTCAATTTCAATATCTTTTGATTCTGAAGCTTCACGAATTAACGATTGTACTTTATCAATAGTTTGAGATTGATCTTCTGTTAGATTTGATGGATTATCATCACATGCATAACACCTAATTTTAATAAATTAACAATAATAAAATTATTAGCAAGCACAGACATTTTAAACAATTTATATAATAATAAATAATAATAATAATTATTATTATTGCTTACCAAACATCAAAAGTTTTGATATTAATCGCAATAAAATGTTCTTTACTTTCACCGTAGTGAGCGAGCGCGTGTTTGGAATCATCACGACCACAGTTCAGTTGACCACAGCTAAGACATAAAAGAAGACTTCGAGCAGATATTGGATCTGGTTCGGTATTTGGTGACGAATCATCAACTAACGTGTGTTCGCTACCAGATGAATTTGATGTTTTCATTGAGAGATTGTCTGTTTCCTTAGTATTACCACCAGAACATGTCTAATCAATAATTTAGAAAAGAAAAAAAAATATATTATTATTATGAGGTATACGAAAAAGAATAATATATTTATAAGAAAATGTGCACCATACTTCACATTGTAAGTTGGAGCTAAGCTTTTCTATCGGACCTTCTATATTTTCTAAACTAATGGCATCTTTAATATGAGGGCAAGTTGTATTTTGTGCATCTGAATCAACTTTATATTAATAATAAAAACAAGAATTGCAAAAAGGAATTATACGATACATTAATATAACGAAACACACAACCATATTATAAATGATTTAATCATAAACAAATAATTAAATAATACTTGTTTGTTGCTGATTCTCTTCGTTGTCACTCATTTTGTCACGAGTTTTGCGGAATTTATTTTTTTGTTTCTGACTGGGTTTTTTTTTTTTTGCTTTGTTTTTTTTCCAGTTTTGCCCATACCTTTTTAAAAATAGGCTTGGGACATGAATTTTATTTATTTATATTTTTTTTCAAAAAAAAAAAAATAAAAAAAACGACAATAATCATTTGTTAGTAGGTTACACAACATTAAAATCGAGAGAATCATTACACGACATTCAGGGGTAATAAAAATGTTTGCACTATATATATCAAAAGTATAGGGACACTTGCAGATCATCAAAATTGAATAAAGTGACTAAAGTGTCATGATAAAAACTAAAAATTTATTAACCAATAGATATATAAGCAAAGAAGACGGACCCTAAATTAGCACAAAAAAAAATTAAATCATGCGCAAACATAACAGTTTGATAGCATGATTGACATAGTGGTGCAGTCTTGGATTCCATGCAAATTTTTTATTGTATATTTTAGATATATGGGGCATGCTGCAACAAAACCAGACAAAGTGAACATTGGTGTTACCAAGAATTTCAGGGATCAATAGTGCTTGATTAACATCACAATTGTATTACTGGTGTAATGTGTCATGATATTTGTCTAGACAAAAATAACTAATATGAAACTCATTTACATTAGGTCTACCATGGAACCCAAAAATTACAGCACCATTAGAAGTATTTTGAAGAAGGAACAAGGTGAAAAAATTGCCCCTTATATTTTCAAAATAAATGATACTCAGGCACTAGAAGCTTATCTAAGAAAAGAAAGGATTACCTATGAAATTTACCAAGAAGAAAGAAAAATAATGAATGTTAGAAAAAGAAAGCATTGCAAGCATGCAATCCGAGTTTCCTAGTTAATAGGTTATTTATAGCTCAACACACAGCCTACCCGCTGACTTATGGTTGATTCTATTGTTTGACACACAGCCTACCTGCTGACTTATGGTCAAGGATTAATAATAAAAATAACTTTTATTTTCCTGGATAAAAGGGTCCCTAGGTTCTATGTAAATGATTATATCTCAAAGGTGTCCCCTTAAGATGTATCTGAATAATTAAAAGGGTTCCCAACTAATAATTAAAGGTTGGCCAGACCATTAACCATTAGAAGGGCTG